TACAGGGGCTACCTGGGTACCTAAATGCCTCACAGGAAGCTGAGGCTTTGGGGTCCTGTAGACATCACACCCTTTTTCAAAATTATACAGAAGTGTCTTACATAAGCTGCCAGAAAAATGTATAGGGAATCTACCAGAGAAAATGAAAAGAATGGAGATATTGGGGTTGGGGATATGGCGAGTTGGTAGAGTGCTTGCCTTGCACATATAAATCCCTGGGTTCAATCCCCAGGACCACAAAAAAAAAAAAAAAGAATGGAGATATTATTAGTGAACTGCTAAGACAAATAAATACAAGGAAGAAAAATCCTATGAAACAAAAACATAGTTATTATAAAAATTCTACTAACTTTCTATTTATTTCACAAGGAAAAGTACTATATACTATCCAAAAAGAAGTACATTTGAAGACTTTCAGAAATTCTTTTGAGTCATTAAGTAACATATTTGAATTGAAACTCTTATAGATTCACTAACTCTATTAACTCTATCAGGTGAGGTAAATTTGTTAACTATTAGATTGTAGGGTGGGTTGATATTGCTTTTCCCCTTTGTAAATACACAACTTTATTCTTTTAATCGGATCTACTTCTTCCGCCAAGTATTAGAGTAGATGAATATGATGCTCAAGGGATAAAGTACTGATGACCAAACAGTCTGCTTAGTGATAAATAGAAGAGTCCACTCTGACAACTGCTTAAAGTCATCATATGTGAAGATTCTGGGCAAAAATGTCAAGTGAAATGATGAGCACTGAAGAATTAGGATTCACTCCAGGAATGCCAAGATGACTTAACATAGGACTAACTACCTTAGAGAATCTGTTATTGTAATTCACCTCTGTAACAAAATAAAGGAGAAAAAAGCAATGTGATGGCACAAAAATAGATGTCAGTAGATACAGAAAGAATTTAACCTCTATCCTTTATTTAAAAATCAGACACGACTTAGCAAAACACTTACAATAACATAATATAGGTTATGTACCAAATGTCTACAACAAAAATAATTAATGATGAAATGTTAAATGCTTCATTTTTGGCACAAAACCAGAATACACCCACCATCATACTTCTGGCTCAACACTGTGGATGGAAAGAGGCCTGCCTGAGGTCATAAGACTTGTCACTGGGCAAGTCAGGAAGACCCAGTCTAACACTTATATCTTTAATTCTATGCTAAAACTGTTCCTATTATCCTTAAGGCATGGGTCGCTTAAGCAACATCATTTGAATTCACAATTGCCAATGGATTACCTGATATTCTACAGTGGGGATACAATAAGCTACTATGGTTTGGATATAATATGTCCCCACCAAAACTCACAATGAAATTTGATTCCCAATGTAGTGGAATTGGGAGGTGGGGCCTCTAAGAGGTGATTAAGTTTGGGGGGCTCTACCCCTATAAATGGATGAATGCAGTCTCATGGGAACTCTCATGCTCCTGAAACTAGACTGGTGACCTTGACAGGAGATTGTTATCAAGTAAGCCTGAAATCTCCCCTCACTCTCTCACACATGGTCCATCTTCCGAATGCAGAGCTTCTCCTTCCAATTTTCCACCGTAAGTTGAAGCGTAACATGGCCCACACAAGATTTGACCACCTGGTTTTAGATTTTCCGGCCTCTAGAACCAAGAGCCAAAATAAAGCTGTTTTCTTTATAAATTACCTAGTCTCAGATGTTCTGTTAAAGCAACAGAAAACACAGATGGTCTCTTCCATAGGTATGGATTATACTTTTTCTATGTTAATATAAAACAGCAGGAAGATTAAGTTACAGATTCACTGCCATTACAAATCAATGTCTTTGCAAACAACAGTGCAAAATCATAGACCTGAGGTCTTGATAGGTATAAAGAAACCTTTTGTGGCATCATATCTCATCTTTTACCTCAGACTTTCACCTAAACACTGGCTAAAATCTTTTTCATCTTCCATTAGAATTTGATAACTTTAGTAAGCCAGAAATAAGATATGGAATATATCAATAACAGTTTGATTTTATAATATTTATAATAGCTTGATATTTAATATATATCTTGGGCCTTATATTCTACAGAGAATGCAAATACTTGCCTTTTCCTCCATATCATATTAAGTTTATACCAGAAAACTTTACATTTTATTGTCATTATTTAGCCAAAACCACATGAAAGCAAAAAATTCATGACTTTAAAGAAAGAACAAAGTTAAATGAAAAATTTTACTTAAGAAGCTAGGAAGAAAACAAACAATGTATAAAAAGCGATATAAAAGAATTTTAAATGATAAAAGAAATGCATAAATCAGAAATAGATTTTATAAATCTAATGGGGGTCATTGTAGTCATGAAAGACATACTCTATTCTTTTTGGCAGAAAGATTAAATAAAACTCTGTCAATACAGGTTTGTATGCATAAACAAACTTTAAAGGACACACAAAAAATGTTGATAGTTTTTTCTTCAAGATGTGATATTAAAGGTTATTTATTTATTTTAGTTGTAAATGGACACAATACCTTTATTTTTATTTACTTATTTTTATGTGGTTCTGAGGATTGAACCCAGTGCCTCACACTTGCCAGGCAATTACTCTACCACTGAGCTACAACCCCAGCCCCATATTTAGATTATTAGAGGTTATAAAGGTCACTTTTCATACTTTTCTATATTTTCTAAATCTCCTATAATAAATACTTTATGATAAGAAGTAAGCTATTTTTAAGATGCCAAATTATTTCTTACTGATACATATATTTAGTGAGATACCAATCAAAATACCAAAGAGAACAATGAAGGACTAAGAGAGGACTTGAAAAATGCTCTTTGAGGGCTGGGGATATAGCTCAATTGGTAGAGTGCTTGCCTCACATGCACAAGGCCCTGGGTTTAACCTCCAGCAGCACACACAAACACACACAAAAAGTCCTTGGTGGGGGGCTAGGGATGTAGCTCAGTGGCACTGGGTTCAATCCTCAGTACCACACAAAAATAAACAAATAAATAAAGGCATTCTGTCCATCTATAACTACAAAAAAAAAAAAAAAAAAAAAAGTCCTTTGGGAGACTAAACATTTTGTAAAAGAGTACTCAGTGATCTTTAAGCAAAATAGATAAATATTCTATTGGGTGACAATGCAAAGCTTCATTTAAATATTCTATTGGGTGACAATGCAAAGCTTCAATTAAATGAGTACCTGGCTAGTAACCTCTAATTCTAATCCTGAGTTTTCAATAAAATACTTATGAATTTAAAACATAGACAATGGTAAAAACTCCTAACACAACATACTACTAGGACCATCAGAATGTCGAACTGCAGAATCAGGATGCGACTAACAGGTCTCAAGACAGATGAAGCGATACAGAAAAGTCTGCCTAAGAGCTTACAGCACAAATTGCTGCTTGAAACAGTGATAAACCCCCACATAAAGTGAAAAAGGTTTTTACCCTCGCTCCCCAGCAGACCCCTAATTCACAGACCCAAGAGCTTGATGAAGACAGAAACAGGAAGTCATCTCTCTGCACCTACCCTGTGGAGTAGGCAGACTATCCTACAATTATTATCAATCTTGCATCACATAAGAAAATTCCAGAACAATCAAAAGGTCACTTGAAAATGAATGAAGTGATCATTTATTTGATCTTGGGCTAGAGAAGATCTTTCTAAATTAAAAAGGTAAAAATAAAATATTTTTAAAGGAAATGATTAACAGATTTGAATGACATAATTTAATACCAAGTGTTGGCAAGGGCTCAGGGAAACAAGTGCTCTCATGAACTGCTCGTGGGAACAAATTGGCATAATATTTCTGGAGGGCAATCTGGCTGAATGTGTTGAAAGTCTTTAAAATGTTTATACTCTCTGACTCACTAAGTCAACGTCTAGGAATTTTTCCTGAAGAAATAATCAGAGAGAGACAAAAAATATATTTACACTAGTGAAAGACCAGAAAAAAACCATAAATATCCAATAAAACACATATGTTTAATAACACAGGACTAGTGAATATAAGATAATAAAGTATAATAATATAATAATATAATAAAGTACTATCATATTTAAAATAATACCTAAAAGAATAATTGATGGGGAGAATATGCTCAGAAAATGTTAAATGCAACAAAGAAAAGTTAATAACATGTACAGGATGGTTCTAAATGTTATTTTCTACAGTGCTGAAGATGAAAGCCCAGGGTCTCATGCACTCTATCATTGACCTATACCCCCAGCCCTTAATTTTTTTTTAATTCATGAGATATATGCATACATATATTTGACAGAAAATATTAAAATAGTGGTTGTATTATTTTTTAAATATTTTTTTAGTTGTAGGTGAACACAATGCCTTTATTTTTATTTATTTATGTTTATGTGGTGCTGAGGATTGAACCCAGTGCCTCACCCATACTAGGCGAGCATTCTACCACTGAGCCACAACCCCAGCCCGTGGCTGTATTATTTCTTGCTGGGAAAATTGGGGACAATTTTAACTGTTACTAATAGCTAAACTCATGATGATAGACTTAGATAACTCAATCGTCAAGCCTCAGCTTAGCTGTCACTTTTCCAGGAAGTACTACTTCTGCACTACTCCTGCCCTGCCCCCCTCCCATATTATTCTCGTGTCCCTCCTCTGCACTAGACTGCAGCTTCAGCAGAAATTTTTTTTTCTTCGGTATGCGATGGAAACCAGGGCCTCATGCATGCTAGGCAAGCATCTACCATTGAACTGTATTCCCCAGCCCTATGAAATTCTTTATCAATACATCCTACCATTTGATGTGATTTACTATATCCCCATTATACTTTCAACTGCCTGTAGTCAGAAATTTGGGTATTTCCTTTTGAATCTCAATACCAGTCCATCTGGAATCACAGATATTCAAGCATTTAGAATGCTAGGTTCATGAATGAAAGTAACAGAACAAATGATTCTCTTTGCAACTTTAAGGTCAAGGAGAGAAATGTTAGTAAGGATGAACAAATACCAGGTAAGAGACACCTATTCTTACCTTGGCTAGCAGGCTTGAAACATGTTTAATTTCACCATTTGCCTTTAGCAATTCTTGTCTGAGCTCTGTGCAAGACAGTTCCAGTTGATCTTTTTCAGCTCGAGCCACTTCCAACATTTCCTGGACTTTACAGTTCTCTGCTGTCTGCCCCAGGGTACTACTGGTCTCCATAATTTTTTGCTTTTCTCCCTCCAAATGAGACTTCAAGGACCCATTCTCTGTCTTCAAGCCTTCCAAGGTAACTCTACATTCTTCCAAAGTTTTGGCCATCACACTATTATTACACCGCTCTAGTTCTAGAAACCCATTAAGTTTTTCATTTTCTTCCTTTAGGTGCTTAATCATGTCTAAAGCTCCTTGGTTTTCCTCCTCAACCTTCCGTAAGCTACAGGTCAACTGCTGCTGAATATTGAGCAACTTCTCTCTTTCAAAGCGGCTCTTCTCCAGAATATCTGTGCACTTCTGCTCCAGCTCCAGGATTTTTCCTCCTTGGGCATTGGGCTCTTCATTCTTCACTCGCTCTTGTAAAAGGTTTATCAGTTTCTCATTTTCTTGACTTAGCTGCTCTGCCCTTTCTCGATGCTGGTGAAAGGATGTCTCTAAAATCGTCTTCTCATCCACCAGTTTCTCGTTCTCAGCTGTCAGTTCCTGCACCATTTGCTGCTGGTCTGATAACTCTTGCAGAGTAGCCTGCAGCTCTTCTGCAGTGCTGTGCTGATTTTCTTCCATCTTGTGTATCTTCTCTGTGAGGGAAGCCAGGGACAGCTCGCTGGCGTTATTTGGGGAACTCCCAGTAGGGGAACACTTGGAGCTCTTAAAAGGGTTGCTAGTGGAGGACAAGGGCCGAGACGGGGTATCTGCAGTGATGTGCTCAAAATCAGAGGCATCTGGTGACAAGGAAGCTTTGGTAACATCGCTGCTTGAGGACCCTGATGTCCGCAATGTATTTCCATGTGTGTTTTTTTTATACTCTTCAATTTCACTTGACAGCTCATTTCCAGTTGGACTTCCAAAGCTTGACTCTTGAGTTATGGATGTTGGGCAGCTGCTGTCACCAATGTGACTTGCTACTCCTTCAGAATTTGGTGACTGCTCGAGGTAAGTCAGTTTCTCCTTCAAGGCCCTATTTTCTTCCTCTAGGTCAGCAAGCTCTTTCTGAAAGATTTTGTTCTTCTCCTCAAGGGCTCTTAATAAAGGTTCTGTGTCACCTGGTGGGGCTGATATCCCATCAACACTTGGGTCTGAAGCATCAGTCCCCTCAGTGCTCAGGGCCCTTCTCTCCTTACATTTCTTTAGTTCACTTCGAAGCCTGTTGATTTCACTGTCTTTGGCTTTGGCTTCTGCCAGAAGTTCCCGAACTTGAGACTCAAGAACAGCTTTTTCTCCACCTTCATTCTCTTGCTTGGATTTTGCTGAAGTGGTCCTCAGGTGCTTGGTAGGGGTCGGGGTACAGGAGGAAGTTGGACTGGACCCAGATTTCCTTGGGTTGGAGGGACCACGTGGCACAGACCTCTCTCTTGAGACAGTTACTGAGAGTTCTCGGGGAGCTGGGATGCCTGTCCGTTTGGTTGTTGAAACAGCCCCTAAAAACAGAAGGAAAAATAAATTAAGAAAAACACCAAAAAAGCAAGAACTTTTATAATGGAATGACATCCAAACACGTGGCATAGTGAATGATGTGGCTATCACCTTTCGTGATGTGGCTATGACCTTTCAACCATTTCCTCCTGTTACCCACTTCCTGTTGGGGTTTCTGTATCTCCTCCCACAGCCCTACCTACTTGGGAAAGCTGACTCTCAGTCTGAGCTACTCAGACAATCCCATCGCCAGCTACAGTTGCTGGCACAAAGCAGGGGCACACAGCATATTAATATCAATGGGCACAAGAAAGGTTTTCAGGGCAGGCTGTCAAACATCACTGGATATCAGTAAGAAAGCACATGAGTATGGAATGGCTTGCAACCACCTTGCCCTTGTAAGAGGAAAGTGGAATTGCAGACAGCAAGATAGAAAGAAGGAAGCCAAATTTTTATTGGCATTGTTGAGCTGCAAACAGTACAGATGCCCTGTTGCTGGTCTTTCAGCTACACCAGCCAATGCATATGCTTCATATAAGTCACTATGGAACAGTTTTTCTTTAACTTGCAATTTAATACATATAAACTGATACAATGTTGGCAAATAAACAATAGCCATTTGACAAAATACAAGTTTATTGAGCATTTCTCAATAAAAACTTGCAGAGGGTATCATTAACATATTTGACTGAGCACAACTCTGATTAAGAAATCAGTGAGTTTAATCTTAGTATTAGAGGGCAGGGGTAGTAATTAGAAGACACAATGATACTAAGCAGAAACTGATCAGACCAATGATGTATCAATTTTAACACCACTGGAAATGGTATGCTATTTGTAGTCACAGAGAAATAAGAATGAATGGGATAAGGATGTATTATGAATATCTATGGAATAGTTATAAATATTAAAGGGATTTATATGACATTGAAATGATACAGAATTTAGTATATTTATAATGGGAAATATAAGATATAAAGAATTATTTCTTTATTTTCATCTATATTGTATCACAGACACATAAAAAATATTATAGGGGTAAAAACCCAGAAACCATTCTTGTTTGTGCTCTGGAATTGAAGACTAATATCAGAAGTGAAGGGGAAATGAAAACTCTTGACCTATTTAACACATGCAAAGACCATCAAGGCTGAACTGTTGCAATCCTGCTAACAAAGGATCCCAGAAGTGATCACCAATCTCCAGGTGTCTTCAGAATAGAAAGCAGGTGTAGGAGAATGCCCCCCTCTCTAGACAGTCAGCAGATTTAGAACCCAGCCTGACCCAGATGCTCCAACCCACTACCCAGATTGCTAGGGAAAAGGAACAGCCACCAATCTAAACACCTGACTCGGAAGTGATGATGTACAGGCGGGTAGCATACCTTGCTAAGCACCTACCACTAAGTCCTTTTGAAACTTTGATATAATAAAGGCCAAGCTGTCATATTAATGTACAGAATCTATGATTTTTAAGGTAACTGTTTCAAACTAAGCTCCTGGGACAGAGACTGAGTACCACTATAGATTTTTGATACTTTTAGGTATCTAGATGCCTCACTTGCATCATACTGAATTACTCAATGAAGAAAAGATCTATTTAACTTTTCTTATAAAATGAAGATTAAAACCACTAAGCAATGAAATATTTTAGTAACAGCAGTTCTCTAGAATGAAGTCATCCTAGCAAGGACTATGATAAACACTGCAAGATAACAAAAGTTTCACCGTAACTATGGCCCAACAGGCATACATGCAAGTCAGGGACTCATTATCACAGCAGCATCTGCCATTCCTAAAATACCACTAGATTCAGGCTCTCCTTTCTTCTTTCCTCCCTCCCCGCTTCTTTCTCCTCTCCCTTCCTTTCTTCTTTCTACCTTCAATCATTTTTTTGGTTCTGAAGATGGAGAGAACTCCAACAGAACAACAGAACAAATTATTTCTAGCTATTAATTTCTAGAATTAATTTAATTAATTCTTTCCTTTTGGTTCTAAATCTTATCTGGTTCTTCTAAAAAATGTACCTAACTATTCAATTTTTTTCAAATAGCAAACCAAAGTTTATTTATGAACTACATCTAGCGCATTATGAAATATACAATCCAGTTGTATTTTTCATTACATCTATTCTTTTTCTTTTTTTAATATATATATTTTTTGTAGTTTTTAAAACAGAATGCCTATATTTTGTTTATTTTTATGTGGTGCTAAGGATCGAACCCAGTGCCTCACACATGCCAGGCAAGCGCTCTGCCAACTGAGCTCCAGCCTCAGCCCTCTTTTTTCTTTTTTAAAACTACATCTGTATCTGTTCTTTAAGGTTCTCTCTTCTGTGTGCACATCACTTTAGAAACAGAGGGAACATTTAAAGAGAGCTGCTAAAATGCATCACAGACACATCAGACTAAACCTGGGCTGGTTAGTGGCCTCTCACACCTTCCATAAGTGCCTACTCTCCAGTCCAACTTACTTCCTCAGGGTACTCAAGGGAAGAAGTAAAGTGGCAATGATGTAAGCCCCTGAAAGACACCTGCCAGTGGAGTCTCCTTCAAGTACAGACATCCCCAACTAAAGATGGTTCAACTCATGTTGATGTGAAAGTATATCCATACAACCATTCAGAAAAAAAGTTGTTTTTCACTTTTAGTAAGGAATTCAATAAATTAGTGATATTCAACACTTTACTATAAAATAGTCTTTGTGTTAGATGATTTTGCCTAGCTTTATTCTAATGTAAGTGTTCTCAGCATGTTTCAGGTTGGCTAGGCTAGTAAAACTGTTAGGCTTTATTATCTTGGTAGGTTTGGTGAGTTAAATGCATTTTCAACTTAGCCTGTTTTCAACTTAGAATGAGTTTATCAAGACATAGTCTCACCATAAGTCCAGGGAAAACATCTTTACTGTGAGTTAAGACTCATTGCTAAACAATGTATTCTAAACCCCTGACACTGGCCATGCTACCTTACAAAATACATCCTTGCAAGGTGACAGCAGGGTGTCAAGAGGAATGGGAAGATGGAACTGTGGCGGGCTCAGTCAGCACCTTTATGTCTTTTATTCTCTTCCCATTCCCCCACTTATTCCCATTCATGAGCTTAGCTGGCCAGCTAACTGAAAGAGGTTGAAATGAAAGCAAGCTCCACCTCTTAACTAGGAAGACCTATACAAAAAAAGAAATATATTTAACATAATATTTTTAAATGCCAGTGAAAACAATATTATGCTGTGATTGATCACAAGTATATAAAACTAAATATTCATAGAGACACGAACTAGAAGGGAACATAGAATATTGAGAACAGTTGAGTATTAAGCTGGTTGCTCTGTAAGTAATTTTCTGTTTCCTTTTTAGTTATATTTATGCAGTAGATTTTAAAAAATGGGGTAACTAAACAGTATGTAGAAATTCACTAATACACAAGGAAATGCAAACTAAAACCACAATGTGGTATCACCTCCCATCTGTTAGAATGGCTATTATAAAAAAAAAGATGAAAGATGAGTCCTGGCAAAGACATGGAGAAAACGGAACCCTTTGCACATTGTTGGAGAACAGTATGGAATTTCCTCCAAAAAAAATTAGCATGTGATCCAGCAGTCCTACTTCTGGGTATATATGCAAAGGAAATGAAATCTGTTATGTCCAAGAGATATCTGTACTCCTGAATTCACTGCAGCATTAGGAAATGGCTATGTCGAGTACATGTATTCCCTCATATACTTACTAATTTTTGTGGTGAAACACTTAAAATCTCGTCTCCTAGCTATTTTAAAAAAATATTTTATTTTTTAGTTGTAGTTGGACACAATACCTTTAATTAATTAATTAATTAATTTTTTATGTGGTGCTGGGGATCGAACCCAGTGCCTCACATGTGCTAGGCGAGCACTCTACTACTGAGCCACAACCTCAGTCCCTCTCCTAGCGATTTTTAATGTATCCAACATATTGTTATTAACTAGGGTGATCATGTTGTATGTGAATTTTTTGAACTTACTCATCGTAACTGTACCCTTTGGCCAACATTTCTCCAGCCCCTTCTTACAAGTCCCAGTCCACTATTCAACTCTTTATTTCTATGCAACCAACTTTTTTAGACTCTACATGTAAGTGAGATACATGTGTGGTATTTGTCTTTCTGTGCCTGGCTTATTTCACTCAGTGTAATATCCCCAGAATCATTCATATTGTTGTACAAAGAGTTTCTTTCTTTTGAAGGCTGAATAATATTCCACTGTGTATGTATACTGTATTTTCCTTTTCCATTCAACTGCTGAGGGACACTTTGGTTACTTCTATATCTTGGCTACTGTGAATAGTGCTGCAATGAACATGGGTATGCAGGTGTCTTTCCAACACATCCAGAAGTGGGACTGTTGGATCAGATGGTAGATCTATTTTTAATTTTCTGAGGAACTTTCATACACAAGGCTGCTTCTCTGAAACACTCCTTTGGAGTCATACTTTCCTAGCTTTTCTCCTACCTCAGGGGCCACCCTCTGTCTCCTTTGCTGATTCCTCCTTCTCCCTCTACGTTTTCCTTGCTAGAATTCTTCAGACCTCAGTCCTGGGCCTTTTTTATTTTATTACTTTATTTTCCTGGTGATCTTTTTAAAAAATAGTTATTTTTTAGTTGTAGGTAGACACAATATCTTTATTTCATTTTTATGTGGTGCTGAGGTTTGAACCCAGTGCCTCACGTGTGCTAGGCAAGCACTCTACCACTGAGCCACAACCCCAGCCCTAGTCTCATGATCTTAAATACTTAATCTCATGAACTTAACTGAAGACTCCCAATTAGCTTTTCCAGAGACCTCTCTTCTCAGCAACAAATTTGAAAGTTAAGGGACACACTTGATAAGCATAACTGAACTATCATAAAAACATCTTAAACTATATCCAGGAGATCAAATAACCAGTTAACAGAAGTTTCAGAAATACTGACTGGCGGAAACCAAATGGAAGAATTTATCAAAGAGGAAGAGAATTCTCCAAAGATAAA